GGCACAAGATAAGCCAGCCATGCGAGGAGGAAGAGGAGGAGCCCCAGCCCACCCCGTGATTGGCTCCACGGACTGCTGTCTTGAAATGGGTCCCCTCTCTAGGTATATAGGAAGGTTGGGGCACCCAAGGGGACAGCAAGGGGACTCGGGACACCCCTTCCTAGAGGGCCTGTGGCTACCCTTTCAGAGCCATCTGGACCTATCTGGACTATAGATTGTCCTTCCTCATTCTCTCTGCACCTGATGGCACAGTTAGAGGTCCCCCGTGTCTAAGCCTGGACTTCTGGTCCATCTGAGAATGTTTCCGGTCCCCGTGGAATGTTCCCTGCCTCCCTTGAGGTCTGCTGTTTGGCTCGGTGCACCCTTGCCTCCCGATTGAAAGCACGCACATGCAGCTTTAGAAGTGAACACATCTGCGCATACGCATGTGCACGTATGTACAGATCTCAAAATGACTTGGCTTTCACTCTGTGCTACTGTATTTGGGACCTCATTCTGCCAGTAGACATCTACTGACTCGTGACCGACTGAATTTGCTCAGTTAGGCCCAGAGCAGATCACAAGGGGATATCTAAGGCAGCCCTCACCTCTCCACTTACCATGTGACCAGGTCTTCTTCAGTGCCCTGGAATTACACTATGGACTTGGGGCCTCCCTGAGGGGAGCCTAGAATGGAAAACCTCAGAGAGTGTGGCCCGGAGGCCTCTGGATCAAATGATGTCACCAGTCACAACGGAAAATTCAAATAGTCCTCCTCACCCTGACCCCTAATCAGCCACCCACCTCCCAGGAAAGACACCGAAGAACGGCCACATGAAAGGGAGTTTAGATCAAGGCTGGGGTGGCCGGGCCCGCTCATGGAGAGACTGGCTGAGGGCCGTGTGGCATGTCATCAGTGATTTTTTTGTTTTGTTTTTATTGCATGAAGAGCCTTTCCAGGGTGTATTTCCTACTTTTGAACTGTTTGCAAAAAAGTTGGTGAAAATAGATATGGCTGGCTTTTATTTTCCGGCCTACCAGAGTTTAGATTCCCACTTATTCTTGATTTTTTATCCCAAAATTTGATTTGATTTTAGTGCTTTCAAATTAACCACCACTTTTTAGAAATATAAACATCTCATAAATTGAGAGAAATGGGGGTAATTTAGTGAAGAGGCAGGGAGCCAGAAAGCGCTGCTTGCCAGTCTGTCTGCCCTGAGTGGTGCCTGGCTTCCTGGCCAGGGCAGAGATTCAAGGGAACTTGGGCCAAACCTCTCACTGTGCAGAGGGGCAGCAGGGGTCTGTGGGGACAGGCTGGGCCCAGGCCGCCCAGGTGGGTCACACCTAGGAGTGCTTGATGAAGTTTAATGATAGCTGGCGCCGGGCGCTAGGGCTGACCTTGCCCAGCCGTCCTCTCCAGGACGAGCATCCCTGAGGCCCAGGGGAGCCGAACGTGGGCAAGGCCCAGGCACGATGCACGGGCAGGACAAGAAGAGTCAAGGGAAGGGTCTGCCCTTGATCCCTGGAAAGGCTGGTAGGACACACAGTCACAAGGAAGTGAGAAACTCATTTCCCAGCTTGCTTGGCTCCTTTGTCCTCAACAGTCAGGGCAGGCAGAGTCTTCACCCCAGGGTGAGGCCTGGGGACAGGGAGGCTGGACCAGACCCAGGAGCCTGTGGAGTCCACCTGTGGAGGGGAAGAGCTGAGTGAGGGACACCAAGGGGCTTTGTGGGGCTCAGAATCCTTTTAGGCCAATGACACCGAGAAGCAGGAAGGGATTGTTCCTCTTACAGGTCGTTTGCTGTGGGGGGTGGGCGGCCTCCCAGGAAGGCTTTGCCTGGAGCAGGAAGGCGCATCCCTGCCCCGCACTGTCACACAGAGGCCCGGGATCTGTAGGTGGGATTAGGGAAGGCATGCTTCCTTGTGCCCAGTGGCCCACGAGGGCAGAAGCAGGTCCAGAGATGACCTGAAGTAATCAGGAGCTGCACGGAGCTGGTCCTGTCCTCGTGCTGACCCTTGCTGGGTGACTTTGGGCAGATCACTTAATCTTTCTGAACGTGTTTGCTCATCCACGAAATGGGTCTCACATTAGTGCCTATGCCACAGGCCGCGCACACAACGATGGTGAGATGATCTGTGTAAACGTGAGTGGCGGGCACTACCGTCAGTAATAACGGTGACAATAAGACTGTTTATAGAGGGCGGGATGTAGGGTGTGCTCTTTAGCTCAGTAAAATGTGAGGAGTGACCTCACAGAGTGTGTTGTGGGAGGGAGGAAGCTCTCTGTCACAGGAGGTGACAAGCAAAAGAAGAGCCCCTGCTGGTTTTGTCGCTGGGGGCGGGAAGCCTCAGATGGACAGGCAGGAGGCCCTTGGGGTCCGGGGGGCATTGTGGCTCAGAAGGCAGCGGCTCACAGCTCAGCCCTACACCATGCAGGTCATTCTGGAACTCGTTCCACTGATGAGGCCATGTGGACTGAGGCAGGGACTGGCAGGTTCGGAGGGGACCCCTTCGTGCGGTTGGTTAACGAAGTCCCAGAATAGAGGAGGGCCTGGGCGAGGCGTCCAGCCTGGGCCCCAGAGGTTTGGGGGAGACTTCTGCCTTCTGGTCTGGAGGCTTCTTCTTGTCAGCCTGCTTCAGAGAGGGGTGAGGGCCTGACACCTCAGGCCACCTGCCTGGTCTGGCTCTGGGTGGGCCTGGGCAGGGAGGGTCTCTGGCTTTGCCTGTGCTGGGGGCAGGAACGGCCTCCAACCTCTCGTTCAGACAGCGGTACAGGAGGGCATGGTGGGGGACATGGCCCAGAGCCTCTTCAGAAGCCCTCATGTCCACAGGGCTGCAGCAGTTCTGGTGTGTGCCCTGGAGACCACCCGCTGTCCCTTCTGTCCTCCACCCTGGCGTACCCTGAAGACCGGCTTCCCTTGGGAGGTTCTGTAGGTGGCAGAGGCCCTGTATTGTCCCTCATGCCTCCACATCGTGGCCCAGGGGACCCTCTACGTAGTATGCCCTTCCATCCTAGGTGGGCTGCTTTTGAAGCCCCACCAGTTTCTCCCATCTTTCCCTGCATTTGTCCCCCTCCTCTGACTATGGATGTCTGGTGGCTGCCGATCCCAGGGTGACTATGTGACTCAACCTGGACCCCACAGCCCTCCCTTGGATTGTGCTTATGGGACCGTGAGGGGAGGGTCTCGTCTCTGGTGGCCTAGAGGAAATGTGTCTGCAAGCAAATCTCTACCTGCCTGAGAGGATGGAGCTGACGCGGGGCAGCCGAGGGCATCTGGTTCCTTTACTTCAGTCCCTGTCCCTGCTGGGGTTTGTCATGGGGCCTACACATTCCCCTTTGGGCCAGAGAGATTCGAGTTGGATTTTTATTTCTTGCAACCTAGTGTGTACCCATCCTCCAAGACTCCTCTGGGACACCTGGTCACACCCCGCCGTAGCACTAGGCAGGACAGTTGGTCACTCAGAGGGCAAGCAACTCCTAGCCAAAGGCTGCTTCTTTCTCGCTGCCCAGGGCACAGAGTGGTGCAAAGTCAAAGTGCTTTGAGTGAATGAAAATGTGCTCGGTGTCAGGCTCGATGCTGATGTTTTAACAGGCACCCCGGGACCTTTGCACGCCACTGCTTGTCATCTGATCAGATGGTTCCTGGGGAAGCTGCAAACTCATTACAATAATGCTGCCCTTTTCCCTGGAAGATTCTTGGCCTCCTGATGGGGACTGTGATGAGCTCTGGAAGGCTGCCTTCTTGGTTTTGACCCAGAAGCGTGTTTTCATTTTCATCCACTCGTGTGAGAGGGTGTTAAAAGCTGGGTTGTTGCTGGGGTGGGTGTTCAGTGGACCGGGAGGGACCCCATGATGCAGCTCCAGAACAGGCTGAGCTGGAGAAACGGGTGCAATTGGGTTGCCTCAAGTGGCTGCTTTAAAAAGGGAGTTCAGAGCCAGGTGCGGTGGTGCACACCTGTAGTCCAGCTGGGAGGCTGAGATGGGAGGACGAGGAGGTCAAGGCCAGCCTTGGCAACATGGCAAGATCCCCCATCTCAACAAAACAAAGCAAAGCAAATCAAGAAACAGAAAGAAAAAGAAATGCAAATGGCCAGGGTCCAGTTGACTTATGGAAATTGACATGCCCCATCCCCTGAATGCTGTACGCACTCAGTGGATGTTTGGTGAATGAGTGAACAGTTCCCACACGTATTTATTTATTAACGCCTAATCTTTTCCACGCACTGTGGTAGGTGGGCTGGTCTCACACAGATGAGGTGTGTGTGTGCGCTCCTGTCTCTGCATTTGCAGGCAAACACACATATGTTAACGCACGTCTATTTCTATGTTTTATTGGCCCCTTTGATTAATGCCTTTCTTGGTGGCTAATATCATATTTGCCTGGCTTGGCCAAGATTATGTTTTTATTTCCACAGCTGACCCCTGTTTTTTTTTTTTTTTTAAGGGAATATTTTGATGCATGCAAAAAATTAGATGGAAAACAGAATGTGTGGTCTTGTGTGAAATCATTTCTCATGGGGGAGCATTAGCTGCCCCCTGCCCTGGCGTAAGTGCACACGTGCTTTACACGTGCTGACACAGGGGCCCTTTATTCTGGAGTGGAGGCCACCGCCCACCTAAGAGGTGACCGGCCTTTGTTGCTAGGATTTCCCACTCTGCTCACTGGTAAGGCCAAATCCACGTGATGTCCTTGGGTTGGGATGTGGCCCTTGGTGTGTGAGCTCATCCCTTGTGACTTTCACACTTCTGCCACTTTTAGAGCCACTGACCCTTGGTTCAAATAAAATTTTATCAGAGTCCCGCACAGTAAACGTGGCTCTACTTTGCTCCAGGTAGGGATGGCCCCACCGGCTCCGCTTCCCACCCACTCCCTCCGCTTCCCTGACGTACGAAGTTCTGGATCCCAGGCCAGGAGGCCTGCCAAAGGCCACCCGTTGGCACTGATGGACGCCCGCCTGTCTTGTGCCGTGTCTTCACATCTCTTCTCTTTCTTCCCTCCTGCTGGCCGCACCCCTGCCAGGCGGGCCTCATCCGCACAGACAGCTCCGACTACTTCATCGAGCCTCTGGAGCGAGGGCAACAGGAGACGGAGGCCAGCGGGAGGACCCATGTGGTGTACCGCCGGGAAGCCGTCCAGCGGGAGTGGGCAGAACCTCACGGGGACCTTCACAATGAAGGTAGGATGTGGGCAGGGCCCCAAACGCGACCCTTGTGTACACTTCTGGGGTAACTTCTGGCCTCAATCTCTCAGTGCCCGGCCTCAGTTTTCTCACCTATAAAATGAGACTGGGCCACACAGACCTGCAGTCCCAGCCGAGAAACCCCAGTGGGTTGGAGGAGCCTCTCCGACTGGCTGGAATGGGGGCCCCAGGAGCCACTCATGTCCTGAACTCTGATCCTTGGTCCTCTAGACTCGCTGAGGGGCTGGCCTTCCTCCCCAGGGCTATCTCTGAGCAAGGCAGGAGGTGGAGTGGCTGCAGTTTGTCTTTCCCCTAACACTAATTCCACCCTGTAGAAGCTGCAGGAAGGAAGTTCTCAAGGAGCTTGGGGAAGCTGCCTGATGTCAGGCCATTGAGATCAGCTTAGCCTCCAGTGGCCCATTTCAAACTCCTGCCTCCAACTCTGTACGCTGTGACCTTTGTCAAGTTCCTGAGTGTCTCTGAGCCTCGTTTTCCTAACCAGGGAAGTGGGGACGATCAGCGTCTACCTGCTAGATATTATTTGTATTGATGAGAGTGACTACAGAAATCCCAGCACGGACTTGGCATACAGTAGGTGCTTGATAAATGGTAGCTTTCATGCTTGTTCCTGGGGGTAACTCCTGGCGTGTCAGGGTGGGCACCCCTGCATCCTGGTGGCCAACAGAGGGGCCTGCACACGGGCAGCACTCAGGACCCATGCATGGCTGAGTGAATGAGACAAAGCGTGACGGGTGCTCGTCCTGGGCCTGCAGCCAACTTCAGGTCACACTCAGCTTTCTCGTGAAGCCCCTTTGGCCAAGAGTTGGTGACGAGACCTGGGTGGAATCTGGTCCTGGGAGGGTCACACCCTCATGCCTGGGCCCCGTGAAGGAATGCCTGGAAACCAGTTGTCCCCACATACAGTGCCTCCCTTGAAGCCCCAGCTGCTCCCTGAGTGTCACTCAGAAGAGGAACCACAGAGGGTTCTGCAGGCCTGGGGCGAGCGAGCTCCGGGGACTGGCATGGAGCTCAGGAGGTGGCTGGCGGTGGGCACTGTCCCCACCATGGCTGAGAAGGGCCATAAATCTCCCTTGGATTTTATTTGAGGCCAATTTTGAATCAATAGGCCATAAATCCTCCTTCTGGGGAGAGGCCTGAGGGAAGTCCAGCCCCACTGCTGTGAACCGGAGCGAAACTCCTCATCTGCCCACGGGCCTGGCAGTGGGCAGCCAAAGTGCTGAGCTCCAAAGTCAGAGTCCAAGTGCCGGGAAACGGGGATGTGTCTCTTCCGCACCCCAGGATGCCGGGCTGAAACTCGCGTGGGCAGCCCACCTGTGGCCCTTCCTCAGAAATACAAGGGACAATAGAGGACTTTCTTGCACACCTGTGACCTGATTTGAGGGCAGCAATGGGCATGCACCCTGCATGTGGGGACATGTGCCTGGGCCTGCCTTTCTCCATGTCACCTGCTGGAGGGAGAGGAAAGGCTTCCTCCAGCTCTGGGTCTGCTTCTCAGCATGGAAGGAAAGAAATGGCCCAGAGCAGGTCAGCAGCCAGCCCTTGGAGGACTTGCCCTCAGCCTGGGCAGCCCCATCTCTGCCTGCCCCCATCCTGTCAGGTGCCCCCTCCCCTAGTCCGTCAGGCCCTGGAGTGCTGTTTGCTCCTTCCCCATGCAGGCCGGGAGGTCTCGGAGGACAGATACTCAGGCTCCATGGTCCTGTCATTCCGTGGCTCCTCTCCCATGCTGGGGAGCGGAAGGGGAGACTCAGGGCCCCACTGGACAGGCTTGCTAGCCTAGCTGAGTCCCTGGGGCTTCCTGCCTCCTGGGCCCCCACTTTAAAGGGGTCTTAAGTATGCCCATGAACTTGGGGGCAGAGGGCACTATTCTCTTGCACTCAGGTTATGGCTTAGGCTGCTGCTTCTCTCTCTCTCTCTCTCTCTCTCTCTCTCTCTCACACACACACACACACACACACAGATGAACTTGTACACACACACTTACCCCTACCTCCATGTGTACACTATGTACACCCAATTAGCTCCACACTTGCACACACACTCACACATTGTTGCACTAGCACACCCACACTCTCATACCCTGCACGCACTCGTGCCTGCACATGCTAACACACCCCTCTTCATGTTCACACTCTCTCACACGTCATTGACAGGCCCCAAAGTAGAGGTAGGCAGTGCTCCCCTGGAGGGCTCAGTGAGAAATCAAGACCCTCTTGAGTCCAGAGTTGGGAGTTCGCTTGGCTGGACCTCTAGGTGCATAGCACCTCACTCAGACCCCCGGGACTGCTTGAGGACCTGCCTTGGCCTTGTAGCTGTGCCCTGGACACCCCCTGATCCCAACAGTCTTCCCTTCTTCAAGCAGGGCCTGTTTTCTGTAACCTGGTTCCCTCCCCCAGTGCCCCCTGGAGGGAACTGGGCATGATCGGGGCGTGCAGTCTTGTGGCCCAGGCTCTGGCCCTGCCCCAGGCCTGCTGCCACCATTTGTTTATTTATCTGTGGCACTGGGGATTGAACCCAGGAGCCCAGGGGTGCCCTGGCACGGAGCTACAACCCCAGCTCTTCTTATTTGTTCATTTTGAGAGAGTCTTGCTGAGTTGCTGAGCCTGGCCTGGAACTTGCCTTAACCTCCCGAGTAGCTGGGATTACAGGCACGTCCACTATGCCCAACTCGCTGCTGTTTTTTAAAAATCAAATTACAATTCACTATTTTAACTATTTTAAAGATTCAATTCATTTTCCCCTGTATTCACAATGTTGTGCAACCATCACCCTCTGATTCCAGAACATCTCCATCAGCCCCATAAAAATCCCCTTTTAGTAGTCACTTCTGTTCCTCCCCCTCCAGGTCCCTGGCAACTTTCTATCTCTATGGACTTCCTGTTCAGGATGTTCCTGCAAATGGAATCATGCAATATGTGGCCCGCGGTGACTGGCTTCTTTTATTTAGCATGTTTTCAAGGTCCTTCTCCATTCTGGTGTGCATTAACTCTTCACTCATTTTTATGACCGAGTGATAGATATTCCATTATATGAATATACCACCTTTTATTTGCCCATTCAACAGCATAGTTGGATGGTTTCACGCTCGGCTTTTAGGACGGTGCTTCTTTGAGTGTTTGTGTGCAAGTTTTATGTGAACATATGCTTTCGGTTCTCCTGGGTATGTACCTGGAGTGCAATTAATGGGTCATATGGTAAGACTAGGTTCAAATTTTTGGGGGACTGCCAATTGTTCTTGCAAAGCAACTGCACCACTTTATATTCACTTGGGGCTTCTTGGGTGGGCTCATCGGAGCCTCCCAGGTCTGGTGGGCCCCTGGTGTGGCCTTGAGGGCCGGATGGAGGAGGGACACATAGAAGAATGTGGGTGGGACATTTCCAGCATCTGATGTCAGCTCCCTTTCCCTTTAATTCCCCACGTGTCTGCTGGGAGGGAAGTCTGGGTGGGCCTTGGTATGGCGTGGTAATGGAGGAGGGAGAGACATAGGTGTACATCTGGGCTCTTGCCTTTAACTTGCTGTGTGACTGAGGGTAAATCAGGTAACTTCTCTGAACCTCTGTTGAACAGACCTGGAGGGTCCCAAGGATCAAGTCCAGTATTTCACTTGCAGCATTGAAATTTCCAGACTCTGCTCACATCGTGAGGTGGCCGTTATTTCTCCCCACTCCCTGGAGAGTATATTTGCCCCTTGTCCTCCCTTCTTAGGGGCTTTCCCTCTTTTTTCCTAGTGATGTGTGTGTGTGTGTGTGTGTGTGTGTGTGTGAGCTAATACACTCACTGGTGGGCATAGACATCATAGCCATCAGGAGATGTCACTCAATTTTTGGATTCCGGACACTCGACTGGCAAAGGCTAGACAAATATTCCAAAATCTGAAACTCTGGTCCCAAGCATTCCAATAAGGGATCATCACCTGATTTATTGTTCCCGTCTGACTTCTTCTCTGCCAACTTCCCTAGGCCATGGACTTAAAGGCAGGGCCCCCCCACTCATCACCCACCCCCATCCATCCATCTAGTGAGGGTGGGGCCCCTCCTGCAGACTCACCTTGGTGCATGCTGGGAGGGTAGTGGTGACATGTTGACCTCCCTGCCTTGGCCCCCCATCGGGGCTTCTCCTGTAACTGTGGATACGTGAATGTTCATAGAAATCAGTTCCACGAGCAGCACAGCCTCACTCTCTTCCCATCTCGTTCCAGCCTTCGGCCTGGGTGACCTCCCCAACCTGCTGGGCCTGGCAGGGGCCCGGCTTGGCTACGCGGAGCGGAAGCGGCGCCATGCCAAGCCCGGCAGCTACAGCATCGAGGTGCTGCTGGCGGTGGATGACTCCGTGGTTCGCTTCCACGGCAAGGAACACGTGCAGAACTACGTGCTCACCCTCATGAACATCGTGAGTGTCCCTGTGCCCTGGGGAGGGCGGGCCGGGCCATCCTGCTGGCCTCTCAGGCCTGTGGTTTCCCAGAGAGGATGTGGGGGAGTTGCTGCTCGCTCCCCAGCCAGAGGGCACCCCCTCCCAGCCACGTGCTGTGACATGGCTGCCCGGCTGGCCTGACGTCCGTCCCAGGCTGTGGGCACCTACCTTCTGCTGAGGGGGCCCCCAGGCCATCAGCCAGGAGCCTGTGGACAGGAGGTTCTGGGCTTGGACCATTCAGAACTTGGGCCAAACATGCCTGCTCTGGAGTTGAAGGGACTTCCTCAGGTTCATCCCTTAAGAAAATGCCCAACTGCAGGCTGGGGCTGGGGCTCAGTGGTGGAGCGCTTGCCTAGCATGCGTGAGGCACTGGGTTCCATCCCTGGAGTCACAGAAAAATAAAAACAATTAAAATAAAGGTATGAAAAATGCTCAACTCCTGCTGGGAGGCAGCAGAGAGCTGTCCATCTGTGGAGGGCTTCCCGTCCCCAGGCAGGCTGTGATGTTCACAGGGACCTGCCAGGAAGGAGGGAGAGGCCGGCGGCAGATGCGTGGTGAGACCCTTGCCCTGTGCAAAGGTGGTGGCTGCTACTCAGTGCCACTCTGGTCCCAGCCCTTTCCAATAAGTGCTCCTCACCTTGTTTATTGTTACCATCTGATTGCTTATCTGTCACTTCTGTCCTGCAGATGGGGGGCTCTGGTCACAGAAAGGCCAAGTTTTCAAGAAAAGCTAAAAATGTATTTTTTAAAAGGTATTTAAAAAAGGTTATTATGGAAAGTTTACATCCATGTCTCTAACTGAAAATTCCCAACCTTTAAATTTTAAAATAAAAAACCGCTGTGAATGCCAAACAGAACACACCTCCGCGCCCCCTCGGTCTGCAGGCTGCAGAGCAGGGAGCAGGGAGCAAGGAGGGTCTCAGTGTTGGTGGTAGAGCTTGTGCTGCTTCTCTTCTGGGTGGGCGCCTTCATCTGGGTGCCTGTGGCCATGGCCCTGGGAAGGATGGGGACCAACCTGGTGAAGCCAGACCCCAGGTGGAAACAGTCCCAGGCAGGGCCCAGTGCTGTGGAGGGTGCAGGACCTCGGGTGCTGCTGAACGAGCCCTGGTGCAGAAGCACCCAGCCGCAGCCTCTGCCCCTGCACTTTTAGAGCAGCACCAGCCTGACTTACTACAGGAGGTTTTGGGCAGATTAAATGCGGCTCGCGGTGCTTAGCGTGGCCTCTCATGTAGCAGCTCTCTGTGAGTGGCTGTTGATAATGATGTGACTTCACGGTCATACCAGGCCCCCTGGAAACATCTGGAGGTAATAAAACCACGGGGTGCTGCCGCTGCTGCCTGTGGTCCATAACCTGACTGCACCTTGGCTTCTGGGAGAGTAGCCCCTAATTACCTGTGTGACCTTGAGCAAGGGACCTACCTCAATTAGGATTCTGTAGGCTGCAAGTGGTGGAAAATCAACTGGATCTAGATTAAGAAAAACAGGGTAATTTGGTGGCTCACTGGTCAAATTGCAGGAGGGACTGTTGGAGCTGGCTGAAGAGTTGTTGGAAGTGGGGGCTCCCGGGGACTCTGTTTGCGTGTCTTTGTCTCTCTGTGACATCCTAATTCTCTCTGAGCAACGTTTCTACAAGACAGATTCTGGCCACTAGCAGCAGCTTGAGCCCGACTCCTCTCCCCATAGCTCCCTGGCCAGAGATGAAAGAAGATTCTCCCCTAGTTCCCAGGCGAAAATTCCCAGCAGGACTCTGGTCTGACTTGGGTCACGTGCCTGCTCTTTGACCCAAATGCTATTTGTCAGTGAAAGAGACAATTTTCCAGAGGCAGGGAGGGATTGGATTCAGACTCCCCAGTTAGTGCTGTTAACGTCAATCCCCTTGACATCTCCACTTTCCATCGTGGTATCTATTTTTGGGTTCATCATGCAGGTTAAATATGTGTACTTTTTTTTTGGTACCAGGGATTAAACCCAGGGGTGCTTAACCACTGAGCCACCTCCCCAGCCCTCTTTTGTATTTTATTTAGAGACAGGGTCTCACTGAGTTGCTTAGTGCCTCGTTTTTTGCTGAGGCTGGCTTTGAACTCACGATCCTCCTGTCTCAGCCTCCAGAGCCTCTGGGATTACAGGCATGCACCACTGCTCTGTATACAGTTTTGGACGTATACCCAGCTCATTGCAAGTGCTCTGGTGATGTTGCCACCATTATCGTTAGCTATTTTATTTGTCTTTGTGTCTTCGTGTATAAGTTGCTCTTTGCTCGAGTCTCTGAAGGTGAGTCCCTCAAGGGGAGGTACTTCTGGAATCCCAGTGGCACCCAACATGGTATCTGAGACCTGGCAGGTGAGTGATAAATGTGGAAGTGAAGAGTGTCCGCGAGAGGAGCAGGACATGGGAAAATAAGGCAAATTTCTTTTTCCTTCGATTTAATTTCTTCCCTTCCCTTCCTCCTTCCCTCCCTTCCTTTCTTCCTTCTTCTCTCCCTCCGCTGTTCTGGGGATCAAACCCAGGACCTCACACACTGAACCTCACCCCCAGCCCAAGGCAGCAGATTGCTGTCCCTAGCACTGGCATGGATCAAAGGGCAGGGCTTGACATCAGCTCCAGTGACAGGTGCCTGGGAAGGGGCAGGCCCCTGGAAGTCTGGCCCTGGACACCTCTGTGTGGATGCTTATTGTGTCTCCTCTGAGCCCGTGTCTGGATGCGAACAAAGGCTCCCTCAGGGAGAGGAAGAGGAAGGAGGAGATGATGGCCATGAATGGGAACACATTGCCCCATGGACGCCCCACGCCCTACAGAGGGTGGGCCCAGCCCAGGGCTGCATGGTCGAATCCCATTGGTGGGAGGCCAGCCTGAGAGCCCGATTGGGCCCTGCATGGAGAACAGGAGAGGCCATGAGGACAACCTAGGATGCCTGAGAGGGCCCAGGGCCCAGGCCCTCGGATCCAGAGCCGGGGCCCAAGACCCCAGGGTGTGAGCTGGACCCTGTCTCAGCCCCAGAGCCCTTCCGTTTGTTCGAGGATAATTCCCAAAATAAGATAAAATCATGACTGTCCTACAGAAATAAGAAATGTGTGCTTAAGGTTTTACTTTAACCAATGAGAGAATCGGGCAGATGTTGTGAAAGAAAACCCAAGAGCAGAAACAACGATGGTGATTAGGAATTTTGAAGCAAATACGCAAATGAACAGCATTGGTGTTTAGGGTGGGGGAGGCAGACACCTCACCCCGACTGGCCAAGAGGGATTTGCGCAGGGAGATGCGAGTTTTGCCTGGTGGCTCTTGGTCACCTGCAAAGCCCTCTGTTTGGAGCAGCTTCCTCAGAACCTGATTCAGAGGTGGGGTGGGGTGGTGTGAGGTGGACCGTGCCTAGTTTCCACTGAAGCTCAAGTTCTCCTTCCCTGAGTTGGGGGCGAACTGGGTGTGAGGAGACTGGTTTGCTGTCTGGATTCCAGCTCGGGGCGGGGCCTAGAGAGTGCCAGGGTGGGGAGGGAGCTCTTTCTTCCTCATCTTCCCGCCCCGCCCTGGGTGTACCTCCATCGAGAAGCCCTTGCTTGGCTTCCTAAGGGACTTGGCTGTTCTGGAGAGCTGGACTAGGCTTTCTGGGGCTCCACTCCCCGCTGGCCTCAGGCCTAATCTTGGTTGTCATCCATCCTGAGCAGGTGCCTCGCTGCCTCAGTAGGCCCCCTGGCTGCTGGGCAGGGTGGGGTGGGTGTTCCGGGCTCTTGTGATTACAAGGGGGAGACTCAGCTCACACCAACTTCAGCGGAAGAGGGGACCTATTGGAAGGAAGCTGCTCACGTGCCCACAGTTCATGTAAGAGCTGCAGGACATGCCAGCTCTGGGGACCGTTGGACTGCAGCCTCAGGCATCCTGTCCTCTCTCTGTTCTTGGTGGTGGGAACCAACAGGAGACAGGCTCTCTCCTGTGGTGGAGATGCTCCTGCTCCTTGTACCTAGAGGCTAAAGGGACCCTCTGGTCCTCTCAGGGCACATCATGGCCATCCCTGGACTCACTGCTATCAGGACAGGGTTGTGGACGCACCAGGTCAGAGCCCAACACTGCATGTGGGAATGAGGTGGAGTCGGAGCCATTCCAGGAAGCAAGCAGACAAAAGAAGAGTGTCTCTGGATTCAGTTACTCGCACCACTCCCCAGCACACTCAAATAGCTTGTGGAGCCCCTGCGCTCAGGGGTGGCATTGCCATGTGTCCCCGACAGTGGCCAGTGGATCGCTGCAGTAATTGTTAGAATGGTTTTTTGAGAATCGGATTCTTTATAACTTGACCTCACTTATTCAAGTCTCCCAAGAACCTCATGAAGGTCTGCGTGTCCTCATGTTCTTGTAGAAACTGGGCTGCTGTGGACTGTCTGTAACTCGGGGCTCTCGTGGGCCTGGGATGGGGGTTCTGCTCTGTCCACGTAGAGCTCACCCTTCAGGGACCTCGTGCCATGTGGTGATGTCGTGGCTGACCAGGCATCGTGGGGGGAGGCCTTAGGTTCAGCCCTGGAGGGCCTGCTCAGTGAGTGAAGGGTGGTCTCCATTTGGGGATCTATAACTAACTTAGTAGGGAGAGAAATAGAGAAGGAGAAGAGGCCCCCAGAAGGACAAATTGGCTTCTTTAGACCAGCAAATGGATTTTTAGGACAGAGGAGATGAGGAGGTTGTGGTGACCTTGCTTACGCAGGCTCCAGGGGTCATTCTTTATGGCATGAGGCTCCCCAAGAGGATTTCTGGTGGTCTCACTTCCTAGAACTTGCTGCTGTTAGCCAGGTGGGGAGGCTCTGAGGAGACTTCTTTCTGCCTCTACTGAATATCAAGCTTACAGTCATCTCTCTACCACTGAGGTGCCAGGTGGGTCCCCACAGTCTGGGAGCGGCCCCCAAGAAGCGCCCTTGGAGATGCATGTATCCTGGAAGGGCCTTGACCCTGCACTGGTCCCCAAGGTCACTGCTTGCAGTGGGCTGTATATGTGGGTTCTG